TTTGGCTATTGTTGATAGTGCTGCTATAAACATTGGAGTATTATGTACCCCTGTGAATCAGCACTCCTGTATCTTTTGGATTAATTCCTAGTAGTGCTATCACTGGGGTGCATGGTAATTCTGTTTTTAATTTTTTGAACACCTCCACACTGTTTTCTAGAGTGACTGTACCAGTTTGCATTCCCAACAACAGTGCAAGTGGGTTCCCATTTCTCCCCATCGTTGTTAGCATCTGTTGTTTTCTGAGTTGTTATTTTTAACCTCTCTGACAGGTGTGAGGTGGTATTTCAATGTGGTTTTGATACATATTTCCCTGATGATGTGCAGTGTTGAGCATCTTTTCATGTGTCAGTTGGCCATCTGGATGTCTTCTCTGGAAAAGTATCTGTTCCTGTCTTCTGCCCATTTCTTCACTGCATTATTTGTTTTTCAGGTGCTGAGTTTAGTAAGTTGTTTATAGATTTTGGATACTTGTCCTTTATCCAGTATGTCATTTGTAAATATCTTCTCTCATTCCATCAATTACCTTTCAGTTTGGTTGATTATTTTCTTTGCTGTGCAGAAGCTTTTCATCTTGATAAGGTCCCAATCATTCATTTTTGTTTATATTTACCTTGCCTTTGGAGACATGTCAGGTGAGAAGTTGCTTCAGTGGAGATCAAAGAGGTTGTTGCCTGTTTTCTTGTCTAGGATTTTGATGGTTTGTTTTCTCACATTTAGATCTTTCATCCATTTTGAGTTTATTTCTGTGTATGGTATAAGAAGGTCATCCAGTTTAATTCTTCTGCATGTCGCTATCCAGTACTCACAGCACCATTTGCTAAAGAGACTGTCATTTTTCCATTGGATACTTTTTCCTGCATTGTCAAATATTAGTTGGCCATAAATTTGGAGGTCCAATTCTGGGTTCTCTATCCTATTCCATTGGTCTCTGTCTGTTTTCATGACATTACCATAGTGTCTTGATGATTACAGGTTTGTAGTACAGGCTAAAGGCTGAAATTGTGATGCCTACAGCTTTAGTTTTCTTTTTTAACATTATGTTGGCTCCTCAGGGTCTTTGGTGGGTCTGTACAAATTTTTGGATTCTTTGTTCTAGCTCTGAGAATAATGTCAGTGCAATTGGAATTGCTTTGAATGTGTAGATTGTTTGAGTAATGTCAACATTTTAACCGTATTTGTTCTTCCAATCCATGAACATGGAATGGTTTTCCATTTCTTAGTGTTTTCTTCAGTTTCTATTATAAGCTTTCTAGGGCTTTCAGCATACATATATTTTACTTCTTTGGTTAGGTTTATTCCTAGGTATTTTATGGTTCTTGGTGCAATTATAAATGGGATTAGTTTCTTGATTTCCCTTTCTGTTGCTTCATTATTGGTGTACAGAAATGTAACTGATTTTTATACATTGATTTTTTTATCCTGCAACTTTGCTGAATTCATATATCAGTTTTAGCCTTTTTTTTTTTTTTTTTTTTTTTGGTACCTGTCACCTATTTTAATTGCATCTGGTCTACTTGGAATTGTATCTCATTTCATTAGTTCAGCAATTGCTTTAGGATGTATAATATATATCTTTAAATGATCACAATTAACTTATCAATGATATTATGCTTCACATACAGCATTAAAACCAGTTTTCTCCTTTAGACCTTATGCTTCTGTTGCTCAGTATTGTTAAAGCTGAGGAGGAGCTGGAACTCTATGACAGGTAAGAATCTAAGGTGGTAGAACCACTTGGGAGAAACCATTAGTTTCTTCAAAAGAAAACATGTGCCTCTATGAAGATTCATACACAAATGTAGCAGATTTCTTTGTAATGGATAAAGACTAAAAAACCAAATTTTCATTAATAAGTGAGCAAGAAAACAAGTTGTGGCATATATACATTGGCTGATATACTACTTAGTACTGGAAAGAATTGAACTATTAGTATATATGTCATGAAGAGATCATAAGCTAACTGAAAGAATTTTTTAAAAAAGCAGTCTACAGTTTTATTCATTTTCTTCATTTTCTATAAAATTATAGAAAAAGAAAAACAGAAACTAATACCAAACTAGCAATATATAATGCTGGAGTCCAGCTCCACCTGGGACCAGTGGTCCCTAAAGGATGAACGGTGTCAGCAAGGGAGGGATTGAGAGAGTCCCAAGATTCGTTCTGATCACCAGGCAGCCATCTCTGTCCTGTCGGTTTTGGTGTCTATATTTACAGGTCAAACGTTAACATGGCATCAGAAAATGGAATTTTTACAGTGGATAGTTCTCTGTGAAAAGATGTTTTGGAAAATGTACAGAAACAGGTTTTACAGAAGTCTTCTTGCAGAACTGCCCCAATTATAGTGAGGTTGAGTAACTAAGAAAATAACAGGGTGTTCACATTTTAATAACAGTAAGAATAAGTCATAGGTTTGTAGATACTTTTATCCATCCTCATCACAGCTGTCAGGGTAAGGGAAGATGTTTGTGGAATGTAGGCCTTAGGGAAGGGGCTGCTATACACCATCAGTTAGCAAAGGTATATGTAGTAACTTATGTTCTGCCCTTATCTGTTCCTTCTCTCTAAGTTAGGCTCTTTGTCTCCAGGCAAGACTTGATATTCCAGTTATATTCTTTACGGCACCAGAGAGTCAGCCATACCTTTAAAGAATTTAGCTCATTTCCAGTACATAGAATAGCCTCATCGAGTGCATTTACCTTTGTGTCCAGTTGTATGATGTCTTGAATAGCTAGGGCATGAGAGACATTTTTGGTTAGCTGATTTACATGTTGTGCTGGATGAACCTCTTGGACTTATACAATGGTAGTAACAGAACTGTACATGTAAAGGTCAATCTTTTGTGAGTAAGGGTCATTAGCCTGTTCATAGCTCAAGGGAAAGTATGGAGGAAGACAGGAGCTGCTGGAGACACGATGTCTGTTCCCATAATCAAAAGAAGAAGTTCCCACAATAAGTTCCTTCACAAGGTGCAATCGTCATACCAGGGCCGGAATAAGGGGACAAGTCACTCCCGATATTGATCAACAAGGTACCTTAGGGGTCAGTGCTCAAGCAGAAATAATTGAGTGGGGGTGGATATCGGTCGGTCATCATCTGATTGGCAAGAGACCGTGCAAATTTGCTTTAACCTCACCAGGAGTTTTCTCGACTAGTGGGCTTAGAATGGCTCCCAACACTTTAGTGTTCTCTTCCCACTTATGTTTCGAGCTCCTTGAGGGGGAGAGGATCTCCTGAAATAATGTTAGGTAAAAAGTAAGCCTAAAAATAGATTATTTTTCTAAAAAATATACTTAATAATTACTTTCAAATGATAATTGGAATTAAATTAATTAAACTAATTGATTAAATTAAACTTAATTTCTTACCAATGAAAGTCTTTTATAAACTTTCTTTTTCATTTTTACTACTTCTAAACCCTGATTTCTCCTTTCTTAATATTCCTTCAGTGACATTTCCCCCCCAAACAATTCTAAAGATCTTTCTTCTCTGTGTATTTAAGCTACTTGAGTTTTATTTGGTGAATTCAGACATTTACTTTTTTTTTTCTTTTTTAGCATCTGCAGTATCTGTTTTCCTGTCTGATGAAAATTCTATAAATATCCTTAGGCTTCATGATAGGCTTGTTATTTTCGTTCAGTTACGTGTCTACCTGACAAACTTTGCTGCTTTTGATTAGAATTGGACCTGAAGGGACAAAAAGTACAAAATGAATTTTGATTTGGTTAAAGGAGTGAAATGAGCAGTGAAAGTAACCTCTTGAGCTTTTATTTTGACTAGATCATGTCATCTTTTTCACTGAGTCCACGCAGAACTAAGGATTAAAAAAAAAAAGACACAGGGTGGAAAATTACCACAAATTCTGTGGGGACATTTAGCATGTCTCTTTACCTCAAGATGATATCCATGGCTCTTTCTGACATCATACATTTATTACTTTATGAAATGTTACTATTGACAGATAAGTATACGTGTTTGGAAAATTCCATCAAAAAAGGAGACAATAACTTCATTTTTTAACAGTACTAACATAAGATTTATATTTAAAGTGATTTAAAGCTTTATGCTTTAATGGTTAACTATTTAAGGCCTTAATGCTTAATTAAATATTTAATTGTAAATGACTTTTCATTTATACCTTGCTGTGTTCCAAGGAGGACTTGAAGCAACTAATCCAGTTTTATTTTTCAGTTGTATATTCAGTCATAAGGATTAAGAAGAAACTAAATGATTTGAACACAAACTACTTTGCCACATAGGAGTAAAGTTGTGGAGAAAATGGTAAATAGGGAAAATCAAGTTGTTGATACATTTCTGCACTGGCTTTCCCAAGAGCTCAGATGATAGAAGGTATTTTTAAACATAGCTGGGAGCCATGAACAATCAGGAAGAGTGAGTCCTCCTAGAAGACTTTATGTGTACAGGCAGGGGATCTGTGCAGCATGCAAATCAGGAGTAACACAGATTTCTGAATGCTATCTGCCAACCTGGCTAACTCCTCGCTGCCTTTCTCGTCTGGACCTGACCTTAGATTTGTGACTGTTTTGCCTAGATTTTACTATGCCCCCCTCCTTTTTGTAATGCTAACACTACTCTTTTTTCACTCCTTATTTAAAATCTAATTTTTTTTTTAATTTATTGCCTCTAATGAGTATGGATCTTACCATTCTAAAACCCTGAGAAACTCCTTAACAGCCAGAAGTTTTGAAGGTCTTCCACTCTGGGGTCAAATGTCAGGAGAGTGATTCTCACATGAGCTTAAAATCTTTGTGTTTCTTTGACTAGACAAAATTAATCTATTATTTCATTGGGCGGGTGGGATGGGGAAGACCCCTTAAGAGTGGCTGAGTTGCTTGAAAAGCATTTATGATGATGTCTTTGTGATTTCTGGGATCAACACGGTTCTCAACTGAATCAAATTTAGTAATGCTTGAAGATCTCCACAGCTTTCTTAACTTCATTGTTAAATTATTTAGTAATTAATTTGCCCTCCCAGGAACACCTGGCTGGCTTAACTGGTAGAGCATGAGACTCATAATCTCAGGGTTGTGAGTTCAAGTCTTGTGTTGGGTGGGGAGCCTAATAAATACATACATACACAAAACCCTCCCATACCTTCGCCAATTTCTCCAATATCTCAATTAATAATCAGGCAACTTTTTGTGAATGCATTAGTTGTTTTTTTCTCCTGTAATCTAAAAGTACAAACTAGGATGCAAACAAAGCTTTATTATATAAAAATGTTTATTTCTAGGTTGAGTCATATGAAATTGGTGGTAGTTAACTCTCCTGACCTAGAGAAATGGCAACCTCATATGATTCAATTTAAAGTAATATCTTCTACTAAAATTTTACCTGAATAATCATTCTTAAATTTTTATCTGGTTGGTAGTGTTTTTTGTACTATTTTTGTTAACTTAAATTGTGTGTACAGTTGATCAAGTTGGATTGTTTTATGTTTGTTACACAAACTTTTTTAAGTTTGAAAACGATGAAACATTTGGATAAATTTTTCTTCTAGCTGTTCACAATTACAAACATTCAGCTTAAAATTTCAAGACACTTTGAGTTTTCATTTTAGTGAAAAGGGTTAGCTCATGTGGATGCCCAAATATCACAGATGCTGTCAGGTGGTTTGTTGTGTTTGTACAGTGGCTTATGGTTATTTTTTTTCTGTTTGAAATTCCATCTCTTTTTATTTTCTGTATCATCCATCTCAAAAGAGTCCAGAGAAGACTGAAATATAACCAATTTTATTATTTCTGGATTCTTAAATGCAGTCACTCCATTCCAGGTAATTGGTTGATGCTTAGATTGAAGTGGAAAAACTAACTGGAATGTAGGATTTCTTAACATTGGTTCTCTTCTCCAGCAATTCCTTAGTGATCACTGCTGAAGTCTTCAATAAGCTGTGCTCTGTTGGTGATATTTAGAATGAGAGAGCTGTTACCTAATAGTGTTTACCTTTATGATAGCTGCTCCTGACTCAAGTGTAGTGTTCAGCTAAAGTCTGATCAGGCAGTTGTAACTGCAACTCATTGCTGAACTTTCCATCATTACTTTAAAGTTTCTTGGGAGAAGAGCACTTCTTCTTTTCTAGTAAAGGATGACGGGGAGAATATAAGAGAAAGGCACATTAGGTGCCATAGAAACTAATGTTGACTAATTCTCTTCCCCTTCCAGAGATAAATTCTGGCTATATAGTTGAACCCTTTTTCTCTGGCTAGAAATAGTCATAGGCACTTTAGAGGTCTCTTTGATATCCAAGGGGCTAGAGGGGTGCAGAGAAGGGTACTTTTTATTAGTTTTTTTTCTTCCTCTTTTTCAGACATTTAATAAATAATGCACTGAATTCAAATATATAACATCATGAATTGTGCTCATTGCAATGAAGATTGGTAAAGGGGTGCTCAATCTTTTTTTTAACTTTTAAAAGGTTTTATTATTTTGTTTTTAGAGAGAGAGAGGCAGAGAGACAGAGTACAGATGGGGGAGAGGAAGAGGGAGACACAAAATCCAAAGTCAGTTCCCGTCTCAAACTTGTGAACCACCAGATCATGATCTGAACTGAAGTCAGACACTCAACTGACTGAGGCACTCAAGCGCCCCTCAATCTTTTAAAAAAATGTAAAGCATCTGTATACTTAAAACAATGACTATGGAAATTAATGGTAATAAAAAGGCTCATGTTTATAAAGCACTTATTTTTCCAAACCATTTTTGTACTATGACTCATTGTGTCCCAAGTACAAAAATGTTTATTGTTTCCTTTCCTGAAGTAAGAAAGTTGGATAAAACTTTAGAAAGGTGCTTTTATCATAGAAGTTTTGTCTATCAAGATATAAGTGTTAAGGCTTCTCAGGGAAGGTCAAAGAAATGCCCAAAGGAATGAGTGTGAACCATGGAAATACTTGAGGCTAAGGGTACAATTTCATGTATCTTTCGATGGCACTTTCTACGTAAGTTTGGCATAAGTGCTGGCCTGTTTGCTCTTCCGTTTATTCCCTGAAGTTTCTTCAGTGTGTTCAGTGTGGTGTCTCCCAATTTTCTTACCCACTATGTTTAGTTGTGAGGAGGCCCTTGGATAAGATCAGACGTGGGAAGACAGGAGAAGCCATAATTTCTCTACTTCTCTGTCTGCCTTGGACAGCACCATGAACAATGATGAAGGAGTGTGGGGTGGACTGAAAATGAAGGGCAAGCTAGTGCACCCCACCCCCAGGTGGGATGTGTGTCATATTCCTCAGGTACTCTTGGCTGCCCAAGGACAAAGGAAAGGAAAAAAAAACAAATGGTTAACAGATACAGATGAGAGTCATAAAGGACATGAGTCTCCATAAATTTGCAAATATCTTCGTAAATTACAAGAAAAAGGCAATCTTAACAGCAGCCTAATCTCCAGAAACCTGTAAACTCAGTTTCCTGGAGCCCCAATATCACCTCTCCCCTAAATAGTGATCTGGGGAACAAAGGCAAGCAGGAAATGGCAGGTAAAATTAAATTTCCTTATAACTTGAAGCCCATTGACAGATAACTGGCGGCTGTCTTAATGTTAATGGTTTGCTAGAGGGAAAAATGAACTTAGCTTGATAATAGCAAGGCCCTCTCTCTTAGGAGTCCTCTTTAGCATATCAAAGTCCCTCTGGAGGCTTCCCTTTAACTTTACCTCCCTCATCATAGTATATAATGAGCCACTCTTCACAACCCCTTCACAACTCTCTGTGCCCACTGGTCCTGTCCAAGTGCTTTAATAAAGTCACCTTTTTGCATGAAAACTTCTTTAAGATTTCTTTCTTGGTTGTCTGCTCCAGAGCCCTAATCACCCCAAAACCTCATCACCAGTATCTGGGTCTTCCCCATGATTCAAGTTGCTGTTGGATGGTACCCCCTCAACCCTCCCCCCTGCCACCATGGTCCCACTTCCTATCTATCCTTGGCCCTCTTGTCAATGAAACTTTGTGTGCAGCTGTGAGAATGCAAAATGCTGCAGCTACTATGGAAAACAGTAGGGGTTTTTCTTAACAAACTGAGACTAGAACTACCATATGACCCAGCAATCCTACTTCTTGGTATTTACCTAAAAGAACTGAAATCAGAATCTCAAAGATGTTAGCACTTCCGTGTTTATTGCAGCATTATTGACAATAGCCAAGATGTGATAAAGACCTAAATGCCCATTAACAAGTGAATGAGTAAAGAAAATGTGATCTATACATATAATGGGACATCATTCATCTTTAGGAGATAAGGAAATTGTGCAATATGTACCAACATGGGTGAACTTTGAGGACATTTTGCAGAAGTGAAATAAATCAGTCACAGAAAGACACACATTGCCTGATTCCACTTAAATGAGGTATCAGAAGTAGCCAGATTCATAGAATGAGACACTAGAACTGTAGTTCTGGGAAGAGGGGGGATTGGTGAGCTACTGATTACCAGGTACAAAGTTTCAGTTAAGCAAGAGAAATAAGTTCTAGACATCTGCTATACAACATTGTCCCTACAGTCAACAGTATTATACCATATGATTAAAGGTTTGTTAGACGGATAGAAAATCACAAAGCTGTAACAAAACAGTATGGTACTGTCATAAAGGCAATATATAGATTAATGAAACAGAATAGAGAGCCCCCAAATAAACCATCACCTAAAACAGTATTTTTAATAGTTGAATAAGATTTTATTGCACTAATATACATCAATTATTTAATCTATTTCCTGTTTTGATAAGTAGACTATATTTTTTTTTCTATTTTCTGTATCTGCAGTTACATGTTCTTCTCTATTAGAGGCAAATGATATTTATATATTTGAGTAATAAAATTAGCTGCATTCCTTAGCTGTACTTGAAAACTTACTAAATGCCCAATAATGTTCTAGGTGTTACATAAATAATCATCTTTAAAAGATAATTATTGATAGTCTCATTTTATAGATTGGACATGGAGATTTAATGTAACTGCATAATTTGTTCTAAGTCATACTTCTAGTAAGTTGCTCAAATGAAATTTGTAGCAGGCAGAAATTTTTCCAAGCCTTTTCTGTTACTCCATTAAGCCTAAAACACTTTGGCCTTGAAAGTAAATTGAAAATAGTATAATTTCTATGAATCACAGACTTTGGGAATTAGAGCTATAATAAGATAACCACAAAACAAGAGCAACATGCACTGTTTCAGGACTTTTACAGTTATGTTATATTTTACTTTAGAAGTCGTTGACATACAGCTTCTTTATTTCATGGATAAGTAAGTTAAAGAAAAAAATGCACGTCACCACTTAAAGTCAAACTTGGGAAGTTAATGTCTTTATTCAAATGTCAAATAAATGTCAAACAAATGTCAAACACATATTCAAAGTGGACTTTCTTTCTGACTTCAAACACATGGTTCAATTTCAACTACATAATTGTACAACTTGAAACATGAATATTTGTGATGTTTAATGAGCTATAACGAGTATTACTCTTGTGATATTTTATTAAGTATAGTTGACAATGTTACATTAGTTTCAAGTGTACAACATAGTAATTCAACAACTTTATATGTTATTCTATGCTCACAAAAGTGTTGCTGTCACCATACAACACTATGACAACATTACTGACTAGATTCCCTATGCTATGCCTTTTATTCCCATGATGTAATCCTTCCGTAAGTGGAAGTCTGTATCTTCACTCCCATTCACCCATTTTGCCCATCTTCCCACAGCCCTTTCCTCTAGTAGCCATCAGTTTTCTTTATTTATAGGTCTGATTCTTAGTATTTGTTTTACATCTAATTTTTAGACTCCACATATGTGTGAAACCACATGGTATTTGCCTTTCTCAGTCTGATTTATTTCACTTAGTGTAATACCCTCTGCGTCTATCCATGTTATCTCCAACGGCATGATCTCATCCTTTTTTATGACTGTGTAATATCCCACTGTGTTATGTGTGCATGTGTGTGTACATCGTTATACATTCATCTATCAATGGACACTATGGTTGCTTTCATATTTTACCTATTATAAATAATGCTACAGTAAACATAGGGCTGCATGTATCTTTTTGAATTAGTTTTTATTTGG